TCTTCCGTGTTGTCGTTAGTTATTTATTTGGGGGCAAAACCCTATTCGGGCAGGACCGGAGCTCGTTCGACTTCCATCGCAGCCAGCGGCACCGGGGATCTCCGGGGATCTCCCGTGTAACGGAGCCAGGCTGGCAGCTGGTGTCGCACCCGGCCGCGCGGCCAAACCGGGCTTTGATTGGGAACTCTCCGCCTTAAAACTTCCAGCTCTCGGCCAGATAGGAAGCGCCTAAAAGGAAAGCTTAAATACTTGCCTTGTGTCACCATTGCAAAAGGGGAGGTTCTGGGTTTTCTCTTTGGTTCAGCGAGGGGCTTTTTGTGTCCCGGCCGTGCTGAAGGTGTACAAGCGGATAATCAACTAAACCCTTTGTAGCAGAAAAAGGAGCCGGACCGCTTGGCTCGCTCAGCCCGCTGCCAGCTGAGGGTTAGCGCAGGCACTGCCAGCCTCATCTCTTGCAGTGCAATGAATCGGAAAGCCCTGAAGGGCTTGTGCGTGCCCAACTGTTACCGGTAGGCTCCCAGCTCTGTTAAGTTGTTGAATCTAAACTAACTGAAGAGAAGGCTGTAAGAGCTGAGGGATGGTAAATATTCTTTCTTCTTTCCTTTCGTGTTTTTTTTTTCTTTTTCTTTAATGGAAAACGTATAAAGTTGGACTCACCACACTCTTCCCCCTCCCTCCTCCTTTCTCTCCAAAGCTGTCGTGTCTGTCGATGGCAAGCCGGTGAGACTTCAGCTCTGCGACACAGCTGGTCAGGTCAGTGAAGCCACTTATTTGATTTAAGTGACAGCGGGAGGGAAGAAGTTGTTGCGCAGAGTAGTCCTGCTAATGACTTCGTGGATTTGAAAGGATTCCCAGTGTTTGGTCATCTTGTTAAACTGTCATTTTCACTGCTGCTTAACCCGCTGCTTTACCTGGTGTCTGTTGAAGGGTGGGGAATGTGCTGTGCCTCCATATAGGGGCTGGGCACAGGCTGCTGCTCTGCTCGGCCTGACTAGAAAGGCTGAACATATTGGGGATTCAAGGGCCACCTGGTTTTCTCATTGAGCAGTTGTCACTGTCTTTATTTTTGCTAAATAACGCAATTTGGGTTTGAGAATTATGATGTGTGGGATGTATGCATGCAAAGCAACTGCAGCTGTAGGTGTCTGGAGATACTGTGGTTTTGAAGGTGCAGAAGCTTAAGGGAGAAACAAATCCTGTTGGGTGTTGCCTGTGGAGACTTTATATTTGCCATTCCCACCCCCTTAAAAGGTGTTGCCGCCACAAAGTCGAGGTTTGCTGTAATCTATGTCCTGAAGAGTTGAGAGTGTCTGATGCCTCTTGGCTCCTAGTTTGCCTGATACATAAAAAGAGCCCATTTCTGACCACCTTATATTTTCTGCAAGTCCCTGGCTTGTACCACCCTGAGCCGTGTGCAGCATGACTTGCCAGGGGTTGAGTCTGGATACCCAAAAGTAGCCAAAAATATTTTGCTAGCTGGTGTTTGAAGGCAGTGCGGAGTTAGGTACTTGCGAAGCAATGTGGATCTGGGTCTACGCCTTCACCAAAACCATGCTGAAAAATCTCGGTGGCCTCAACATACAGACCTATTTAGAATAGTTGTAACTGGGCGCCCTACTTAGGAAAGGGATTTGAAGGACTGTGTGGTCCTAGACAGCAGCATGTAACTCCCATGTGCCCTGCAAACCAAAGCTAAAATCCTACAAGCAGCTTTCCGCAGGTAAAATATAAAGTAAAAGAGCAGAACTGTCCCATGATTTTGTGTGCTGCTAAAGAGGTGGAGTGGTAGCACGACAGCCTTGGCTGTGCGTGTTCATATGCAGAGTGTGGCAGGTGAAATTGCCATCAGGTGGCAATTGCCTGTGGACAGGCAGCACCTGCAGAAACGTGGCTGCAAGCTGCAGGAGACACAACCTGGCCCAGTCACCTCTTGTCTTTGGTACCTGCCATTGATGGCTGGGATGTTTGCTCTGGCTGCCCAAGTGCAGCTGGAACGGGTAGAGTCACTGCCTTAAAAGTGAAGGGGTTATCTAAACAGACAGAAGTCATCCTGAATAAAAGATACCTAACTGGATAGTTTGGTCAAACTGCTGCCCTGAGATAGCTGCTGAAATCCCCAGGTGAAAAAGTGCTCCAGGCAGGGGGAAGTTGTATTTCAGCATGACCAGCTGGAAGAGGTGTAGAGTCCTTGCAGGTCACGTACCTCCCATTGAAACTGCCAGAGTGTACTTGGGATATAAAGGGCACTATTCCATTGGTAGAAATGCTTAAGATCTGGGTTTGACTTTCAGACCCATTGAATCGAGCCCTGTCGAGGTTTCTCATGTAGCAAGAAGAGGCAATTACAAGGCACTGTGCCTTTCTGTAAACGGCCCTGTCGTTTGGAGCAGCAGTTCTCAGTAAATGCAGGGTTTCTCTCAAGCCGAGCAGTGAGAGCCTGGTTTCCTCTGAGGCTTAATCTGAGAATCAAGAGAGCTAATGAAGCTTGCTTTCTTGACTCGTGTTTTATAAATCACTGTCTCTCTCGGAGATACTGCTGGAAGAAATTCATTCAAGCGGAACAAGACTTCTGAGGCTTCCAGGGGGCTTTAAACTGCATATCCTAGGCCTCCAGAGGCTTTAAAGCAAAATTTCACATCTCAAAAATTAACCTGAAACTTGCAATTCAGCAGTAAACTGCTGTTACTGGAGAGATGTTTTCAGCTGTGTTCTTTGCACTTTCAATTCAGAGCTTTTGAGAACACGGTCCGTTTTAATTAAAATGTCACTGCCGCTGAGGCAAATCCTACCTGTTCAGGCTGCTAGTGTTACCCTGCTTTTATCCTGCTGTCAGCATTCGAGCAGCCTGCCTGGAGTTAACCCTTGCTTCTTGCTGCATCAGCACGCCTTTGTTACCGTGAGGTGTTTGGCTTTCTTGTGGCTAGTTCCTGAAGCCACAAAGGGCCTTGCTTTGCTGGAGTTTGCACTAAAAGGAAAAAAAAAAAAAAAACACCAAGAAAGGATAGCGCTGGGAGGCCTGTTTGCAGTTTGTTTGATGTGGCATGGGTGGGAGGGAAAGGTAAAACTCTTACTCTATGCCATTGGCATGTTAAGCCTGCACATTGTGAGTCATTATTGCTGCCATCAGATTTAAATCCCTGGGCACAATGGCAGGGAAATTATTCCCATATCCTGTAGGACGTTGTTAAGTAGTCACCGGTTTAAAAGCGGATTCCAGGAAAGGTAGCTTGCTGCTGCTGTCTGCTCCGCTCTTGCTGATATCTGGAGGTAGGGGTGTCAGCAAGAGAAGCTTTGGGGTATGTGGGCACCCCTCATCGGAGGGGCTCACTGACTCACCCCCGTAAGAAGGGGACCTGTCGGAAGTACCTCCTCCCTCCCATACTTGGATTTTTGGCTTCATCACTGGTGTGCTGTAACCTGCTTCCCGCAGCATTACTCCTTTGCTGAAATAGGGCAGAGTGCCTGTGTACAAAGAGCAAAGGAAATATTTAAGCATTCGAAACAAGCTGTGGCTTAGTCAGAAAATCTCAGCTACAAGGGGAAGCCACCACCTTCCTCCTGCGTGCCTGTCAGTGGCAGAGTGCCTGCTGGCTAGCAGCCATGCAGGCTGACACCTCAGACTGGGCACAGGCGACTTCTGCTCCTCACGCTGGGTGCTCTGGGTGCTGATGTCTGGGTGCCTCTCAAGAGGGCAGCAGCAGGTGATCCTCGACTCCTCCAGACATCAGCGTCAGGCTACAGCTGGGAGTGTATCGGGGTGTCCTGGGGGACTGGTGCGCTTGCTCTTTCTGTTGGGTGCTAACACTGTTTCCTTCTGTGCAGGATGAATTCGACAAGCTCAGGCCTCTGTGCTACACCAACACGGACATCTTCTTGCTGTGCTTCAGCGTCGTGAGCCCCTCATCCTTCCAGAACGTGAGTGAGAAGTGGGTTCCCGAAATCCGATGCCACTGCCCCAAGGCACCCATCATCCTGGTTGGGACGCAGTCGGACCTCCGGGAGGATGTCAAAGTTCTCATTGAGCTGGACAAGTGCAAAGAAAAGCCAGTCTCAGAGGAGGCTGCGAAGCTCTGTTCCGAGGAAATAAAAGCTGTGTCCTACATCGAGTGCTCTGCTTTGACTCAGAAAAACCTCAAGGAGGTCTTTGATGCAGCCATTGTGGCTGGTATTCAGTACTCAGATACCCAGCAGCAACCAAAGAAATCCAAGTGTAGGACTCCAGACAAGATGAAAAACCTCTCCAAATCCTGGTGGAAAAAATACTGCTGCTTTGTATAGGGGTTGCAAGGACCTGAGTGCTGCTCTGAGGAAATCAAATAGAGGCTATATTAGCTGAAATCTTCTTCTGTGTCGTCCCGAGTGTATAGTGTAGTTCTGTATGTATGTGTATATGTTGCTACTGGGTATCTCAGTTGCCCTTTCGAGGGTGGCAGAAGGATTCGTAGTTAAATAATTGCTATAAATCAGGTCTGGCATCCAGTTTCGTGACTAAAACCTCTCATTAAGGAAGAAGAGCACTACATGTCTGTGAGGGTAGAGGGATTAGTCCAAAGGATTCCACTAATTGTGTTGTAAGGTGTATGTGATGGGGAGGAGCACACCAGAGGCCTTTGCTGCCAGGGCTTCGCAGGAGGAACACGCAAGCAATGGTGGAAACATAGAGCGCTGTACATGGACGATCAAAGGGAAAAATAACACTGTGCCTCCTAACTGACATTTGTAGCTTTAAAACCCCACTCCTGTTCTCTTCTCCGTGTCTTCCCAAGCCAATGCTCTTAGGGATCGCTATGCGAGAGGTGTAACCTATACGCAAATGCCACGTTTGGAAAGGTCATGAATATACCTTCAGCGTGCGGTGAGGGAACCTAATCCCTTATGGAGCTGATATCTCATTTGTCACCTCCTGACTTTGTGAAAGTCCTTTCTGTCCTCCTTCCCCTGCCCTTCCCAGGAAGCCGCATGGAAGCCCGAGGAACATGACCAAGCTTTAACTCTCTACCTCGAGCAGTGGCGATTTCCTCTGTATTTTTGCAGACATGATGACAGTTCATCTATTTCAGCTGAAAGGAATGTAAATGCTGTTGTGTTGGTGTTTTTTTTTTTTTTTTCTTTTTTTCAAGAGATGTAACTAATGTCCGTGGAGCATCATGTAAACCACATCTGGTTTTAAGTCTACAGCCAAGAATTTCAGGATGCCCCTCCTTACCTTTTAAGGCTGCTAAGAAATAACAAATCAGGCAGATCAAGATTTGTAACAAACCGGACTCTAGAAACTGAGGCTGATGTGTCCTCTTCACAATGATGTCTTCAACCAATTTAATGTTTCCCTTCTAAAGGCAACAGTTGCTTGTGATTGAATCTTGTCCAAGCTCATAGTTGTGAAATTGGTGAGGCTACCCTGGAAATTTAACTAATAATTTCTTTTTCCCAAATCACTCCAACAGATTAACTGAAATGTGCCTGAAATGTAGCTGAATGATCAACATAGTGCGGAGCTGAGTGTGACCTACTCTCTGACTAAATCTGGTTCCTACTAAACTAAGCCTAAATCCAGCCCCGGCGAGTTTGAGAGACCTGAGGGGTAACGTCATTCTCTGCAAGAATCAGTATTTTAACTTATTTTGCAGAGGACATTTAGTTTGTGCTGTCTGTCTGCCCTTTTATGGCCCTGACTACTGGTTGCTTTTTTTTTTTTTCCCTAGATATTTCAAGCTCAGTTTTTTATTTTTTCCTTTGGCCATAGCAACTTATTTTGCAGAGGACATTTAGTTTGTGCTGTCTGTCTGCCCTTTTATGGCCCTGACTACTGGTTTGGTTTTTTTTTTTCCTAGATATTTCAAGCTCAGATTTTTTTTTTTTTCCTTCGGCCATAGCCTTGAAGTGACCTTTTTTCATAGTCTTAAACTAAACTGCAGTGACAGAAAGCCAGACCCCTTTTTTCATCAGAAATGAATCAATGCCTGATACAAAGAACAACTGTGGAAGCCGTTTGAGTTGATAAAGCTGACCACAGTTTACCTCGTGGACCGTTAAAGAAAATGACACTATGTAAATGGATTCTGGGCTGTATTGGCATAGGCTCCACAGGCAGTATTTTTTTCCTCCTCTACAGCAAAATGAGTGCAGAATGGGTAATGTTCCATCTCTGAAAACTTGAAAATGGAATGGAAATCTTTACCTAGGGCCTGATTCAATAAAAATGTGTTGGCTTCTGCACTGGAACAGCCTGGAAAAACAGTTTCCATAGCACAGAAGCTGGATGCAGTTAACTTGATTGCATCTGGTTGGTAATGGTTTAATGTTTACTGGTCATGAAGTTAACATCTGAGCCTTTATATTTCTTACTCAAATGCTTTGACAGGATTTCAGATATGCAGTCATACCGTCATCTTGGAGAAAAACATAAAGTCAGATTTGTCTTGGGTGCTTTGCTTCTCAGTAAAATGGTCTCAGTCAATCAAAAATGTGGGTTTGGGGAAGAGGCAGGCTTGAATCTGAGCAGCTTCCATTTGCAGAAATAACAAAATATCTTCTGCGAGATCATACTGTTTTGTATCACACCATACGGGAAGCAGTAGGTTATGTTTTATAAGCAGCCTGTTTCATAGTCCGGAGTAGCATTACTTTTAAATGTAGCCAGCTGTGACTATTTCTGAAAATGTGATGTATATACAACTTGTTATAGCCCTTTACTAGGTGTATGTAAACTGAGGTCTAATAACTTTACGAATACTGCTCTACACGGGGCTACACAGGGTCTAGGTTTTAGAAATATTACTTTTAAAATCACAAGTATTTTGCGAGCGCAAGTGAGGGGGAGATGTCTCTATGTAGTCTATAATCTGATGTGCCTTATAAAAAATACCAACCTCTCTTCTGTTTTCTAAGTGTAGGCTATATTCCGAAAGAAATATTTCATGTGAGATGATATAAATGAGGTATTTGGAAATAAATTCTGACCTGTGTACGCGTCTGCCTCTGCTGCCTGCTCGGGGAGGCTGAAGGGCAGTCCCTGGCCATGCACCGCGCCGATACCAGGCGGGGAGAAGTTAGCTGCACTGCCAGCCTGAGGGTGCAGTTGTGGTGCCCCAGGAAGAGGCCTCTGGTTAAAAAATATAGATTTTCCCCTACACTGCCCCATCTCCGGTGGGTGGGAAGGGTTCGATGGTGGGCTTTGTGCCTCCCCGACAGCACGGCAGCCTCTGGCTGCAGCCCTGCGAGGCATGGGCAGGCTTGTCCTGAAAGCAGGGTGAGCAGCAGGAGCACAGCTGGGGACATCTGTGGGGACACTGAGATCAGTGGCTGTTTTTTCGCCCACTTCACATTGTGCCACATGTGCCCTGGGGTAACCAGAGGGTGTTTTTGGAAGAGTGGAGCCCATTCCATCTTGGCACCAAGGCTCTTGTCACCCCGTCCCTGGTTCCTGTCCCTCATGCTGGGGCCGAGGCATGTGAGGCTTGAGGTTGTTCATGCCCAGCTGCCAGGTGGCCATGGCACGGGGGCCATCTGTTCTTTGGTGCTGTGATGTCTGCTGCAGGGCTTTGTTGTCCAAGTGGGGGCAGCATATAGACCCCTGGGCATGCCTCCGGAGCCAGTGGTCCCGCTACGAAACCGCTCCGGAGAAGGGGCTTCGCTCTGGACCAGGGTTTGTAAACTCTCACCGTTACATTTGTCTTTTCGGGAGGTCAGTGCTGCTTGCAGGCACACCAGCATGGTATATCGGGGTGCCCTCCTGTGCCTCCTGGCTCATAAGGCCAATGTATTTTCAACCACTGAAACGTGTGCAACCTGCACAAAGTAGAGGAAGGAGACTGATGTGCTGTTCCTTTTTCCCATGGTTGGTTCCTCACTGAAACAAAGTCTTGGCTTCTTTTCTGCTTTGTTAACTGACACGCTGGGGACTGCTGGGAGGCTTGTTCACCTGGTCGGTGGTGACTGCAGCACAGTGACCCTGCCCAAGGGCTGACCCACCTGCGGGCTCCTTCCTGGTGAGTACCTGGTGTTGAACCGCTGCTGCTGTTGCTGGAGCCTTTGAAGAATTGCTTCCACTGTGTTTGTGCACTGGGTGGCATGAACTTGGGATGTACTTGCTGGAGACTGAGTCACCCCACCTTTGCTCTCTGACTTTGCAGGAAAAGGGGTTGCGTTAGATAAGAGCCCAGAACCCACCGTTGACAAATCCCTGCACAAAATTCCCTCTGCTACCTGCAGGGTGTTGCTTTTCTGCTGAGCTGGGCTGCTGTCTTACACATCCCGACATCTGGACGAGGCTAAGGCAGTTCAGGTCATCCTTTATGCCAGTGTAACGTTGTGCATGTGTGTGCTGCTGTGATCAAAAGGCTCTTTCAGCTGCTTCAGATACTGGATGGGCTGGCAGCTGAGGCTGATAAGAGCTTATTGAAGTAAGCCCGATGTACATAAGGTTTTCCAGGGATGCTGAAATTGCTGCCACTTTGTGATGGATGGAAGTTCCCAAGAGAGGATTTTGTTTTCTTTTATATCAAATTAAAGTGCTCTAGGAAAAACTGATTTTTTTTTCCATGGAAAAAATGTCACCTTTACCATTTTCCCCCATGTATTTTGTGCATTGGACATACCTCTAGGGTATGATCGAGGGCTGACTAGAGCTGAGACATTGACAAATGTGTCAGTTTTGGGAGACAGCGTCTCTACGGAAACTTCATCACACTCTTGCTTTGCTTTTTTTCTTCTTCCTAGACATCAATTACTGACCACAGAGGGAGAGACTGCTGCAGGAGATGGCCTTTTTGTATGACTGCTTGCAGCTGACCTCATATTGTCATATGTATTGTGCTTAAACATTGAACCTCACTGAGGCATGTAAGTGCCCTTACAGTTGAGCAACCTTTCTGAGCTCTAGCAGATAATCTGTGTGCTCAGAGGTTTGTACCAAAGAGACCTCTGTCAAATTCTGCCTTTAGTGTTGTCCTGGCATGCAGCAAGGTAGGGAGAGGGAAAAAACAACTACTTGGCAAAGAATGAGATATAAAGCTCAGAAGAACTGGCAAAGGGACTCCTGGGCAATGGGGAAACTATTTTTACCTACTTTAAGCAGAAGTAGGTTAAAAGCCCAATTAGAGAAATGCATGGGGAAACAAACAGCCCCAAGGAGAGCTGTTAGGTACAAAACCACAGCCTTTTATTTAGGAAGTCTCAAAGCTGTGGAGAGCTGGAGGCTGGGAGGAAATATCCCTGCACACTATAAGAAAAATGACTCTGCATTTGCTCAGTTCTTGTACTCTTTTCCCAAGCATCTG